ACGAACTGAAAGCGGAACTATTTATAAACGAGCTGTAGTGTCAATAACACTTTCAAGTTCTTTATAGAAATCCTAATGGCAGAGAGGAGCCATTTTGGCTGAAATACCAAGGAGTACTTATGGATATTGTCAAGACAGCATCAGTCTTTATAAATGAACTAAAGATCTTAAGGTCTTGATAGTTTATAAATATAAAACTGAATAACGATATAGTCTTTAAACAGGCGAACAGGATTTTCTATCAATAGAAATGCAGCAACCAGAATATTTCCCTTTTATAGAATGTCATCTATAGGTCTTCTGCATAAAAGAACCTTACAGGTCTCCAGGACAGAGAATCCATTTGCAAGAATATTCCCTTTTATAGAATATCATCTATAGGTCTTCTGCATAAACTAAGCCTTACATGCCTCCAGGACAGAAAAACCTTTGTAAGTTCTCCACAGATATACCTTTTCTATGGATTAAGTTTTATAGCTCTTACGGAAATGCTCCTGTAGTTAGGAGTATTAAAAATCTTCTATAGATAGAGAATCGTTTAAGGTATAAGGTATTCATTCTATGGGGACTTGTAGAAGCTCTTCTTTGACTAAAATCGAAGGGTTTCTATTTATACCCAAAAATATTTCACAGTTCCTTCGCAAGAATCTCTCTGACATGTTTTCATTCCAAACAAGGTCGGCATTTATTAATAGAACACCTCATATATGTTTCCATTACCACCGCAATATTTCTTTGGATTTCGAACAATATCTCATTTAAAAAATCAAAGCCATATGGCAACACTCTGCAACATTGAGTTGCATGAAATTAAATTTCCCCACATATATACAGACATATACACATACATGTGTATGTACTCTAGTGCAATTTCTGTGAAGTCTTTTTTTTTGCTTCTTCAGTGTATGTGTGTGTGATACGTTCTTCTTTTTTTCTAAAACAACACCATATGAATGACTATGTGAGTGTGTTTGTTGTGTATGTGTGCCATTCTCATTTATTGCCCTCGGCCACTAAATTGACCTAATTACTTGTGAGAATGAATAATGCAAAGAGGTAACAAGCAATCACTGACAAAGGATTGTCATCAACCGCATACATGTGTGTGTGTGTGTGTGAGTATGTTTGTGCAATATATTTACACAGACACATCCACACATACATGTACATATATGCATTCTCTAATGTTGATATGTGAATGTTGTTACAAAGACAGTGGCTAATAAGTCGGACATTGGTTAGAGCCTTAAGGCGCTATGAGAATTACAAACAAAATAGACACACACACACAAACACTGGCAGATATACTTATATACAAATTCTACAGATGAATTTTGTACATGAATAGCATATCACAAAAACAGCAGCGGCAACAACAAAAACCGCAGCCAATTCAAATAAATAATTTACAAACTACATAGCTGATTAAGTTATTAGCCAGCATAAATGGATGGTAGATATCAAAAAATTAATAGGAAAAGGAAATGTGAGAACAGCTAACGAGGGATTATGGTTCGTCTATATAGAAATGTGAGACTATATCCTCCATAGGTCCTCCAGTGAAAGGAAACTTTTTATAGAACTTATATGATACAAAAAATAGATCATCTGTCAGAGATTCTGTCCTTCATTACATCGGGAAATATACGACCTCTAGTAGACTTGTATTTATATAAGAACTCATAGAGGACTCTTTTGCGGTATTTCTATGATTATATTTCTATGAAATAATATATTTTTTAAACAGAATACCCTTTATCCTATCCACAGAAAATCTCCAAAAAGTCTTCTGTTCACAGAATATTTTCTTAAGGGATTCAGTCAATATAGAACCTGTGGCCATATGGCCATAGAAAACCTTTTGGAGGACTATTATGGACAAATTACCACCTGGGATTGGGAAGGAAATTGAGAGCTGTAATATATAGATTATAGTTCGTGGATATATAAATATGAGAGATAAAACTGAATCCCTTATAGAACTTCTATGAAAAAATTGAAATTCAGGGCATTGGACAATATAAGACTTCTAAAAAGCTTCTAAGAGGACTTCAAGCCACAGAAGCAATTCCATCCCTATATAAAACTTGTATGAGAAACAAATCTTCAAGCCACAGAATATACTTTAAGGTACTCCTGTCCACAGAAGACCCACTACTAAGGTATTCAATCAATACAAGACGAGGCTTATGACCATAGAAAACCTTTTGAAGGACTCCTATGCACAGATGTTCTCTTAAAGGACTCATATTCACAGAACACCTAGAAGACTTCAGTTCTTTAGGATGTCCTCTAAAGGGCTTGCGTTAACATAAACCCTTTATAGAATTTCTTTGAAAAATACCTTCTATAGACAGATAATCCCTTAGACAAATCCTATTCACAAATGACTCATAAACGCTACTATTTACAGAATATCGCCTTAAGAGCTTCAGATCTTATATAACACCACTAACATATGCTTGTCTTTATAGAATAACTTTTTGAATACTTCTATCCACAGAAGATTTCTTAGAGGATTCCTATTCATAGGCTTCTTAGAATGCATCTTTTCACAAAAGACCTTTTAGAAGGTTCACAGAAGACATTCTACAGAGCCGTCAATATAAGACCTATGAAGAACATCCTCGAAAAATATCATCTAAGACAGGATAACATCTTCAGGGCTTCTGTCCACTGAAAATCTCCTTAAGGGTTTCAGACTATTTAACACCTCTACAATGCTTGTGGTCATATAAGACCTCTTGGAATAATCATATTCACGGAAGTTCTCCAATAATATCTTACAGAAGATCTCCTAAAAGGCTATCGACAATATATGGCCTATATATAACATCTTTGAAAAATATTTTCAGAAGATTGATGACACTTAGAGAACTCCACCGAAGAAGACCATTTGGAATTACCATATCCACAGCAGATTTCGCAGAAAACCCCCAAAGGCTTCCTACAATATATGACCTATATAGAACTTCTTTTGAAAAATCTTCAGAAGACAGATGACACTTAGAGAGGCTTTTGTCCACAGTATATACATTCTACATAAGACCTCCTGGTATATTCCTATCCACCGAATAACTCACAGAAAACCCCTTTCCAAGGAAGGCCTCCTAAAGGATTTCAACATCTCTTAGAGGGCTTCTTTCAAGGCTTTCTGTTTACAGAAGACCACTAAGAGGGCTTTAAAAGACCTTCTAGATGACTCCAATTTACAGAAAAAAAAACTACTATATAGCTTCTGCCCAGCTTATAGGTGTCTTATCCACAGAAGACCTCCTAGAAGGCCATTGTTCACAGAAAACCTCCAATAAGAATACCTTTGTCCATGGAAGTCTTCTTAGAGGGTTTCTGTCTATAGACATCTCTATATATATAGAGTTTCCTAAATGACATCTATACATAGAAGATCACTGAGAGGTACTTTGTCAATGGAATACTTATAGGTGTCTTATCCACAGAAAACATCCTAGAAGGCCATCGTTCACAGAAAACCTCCTATAAGAATACCTTTGTCCATGGAAGTCTTCTTAGAGGGTTTCTATCTATAGACATCTCTATATATAGAGAGAGTTTTTGCCAATAGAAGCCTCCTAAATGATATCTATACATAGAAGAACTCTGAAAGGTACTTTACCAATGGAATACTTCTTAGAGGCTTCTGTCAATAAGAGACATCGTTGAGATCTTCTGATTTCTGTCAATATAACATTCTTCGATGCATTTTTGTCATTGGGGATCTTCTATACATGTGAAATATTTTTAAGGATTCCGACATATAGAGGACCTATTAGATAATCTATAAAGGACTTCTTCTATGGGTTTTATGGTCATATCAACCTCTTGGAGGTCGTATATCTATAGAAGACAACTTCAAGGGCTTTTGTCCGTAAGATACCTCTTATGAACAGGCATAAAGACCCCTTGAAGAGATTTAGCCCATAGTATACCATTTAGAGAGTTACTGTCAATAGAGGATTTTGAAGACTTCTGAACCATTTTTCTTCTTTATAAAAAAACCTTTTAGATGACTTCTGTCAATATACTACCGCTTTGAGTCCTTTTCGCTAATAGAAATACTTTGCTATACACTGAAGACCTAGGAGCTTCTGTCCATATATGACCACGTAGAGAGCATTTGTCAATAGAAGACCTGTTAGAGGTCTTCTGTCAATTAAAGAGCTCTTAGAGGGATTTTTTCATTAAAATACTTCTTTCTGTCAATAGAAGACTTCTTAAAGGCGTTTATACCAGTTGAAGTACTCTCAAAGACCTCCTAGGGGTTTTCCATACATAGGAGATATTTGAAAGCAGTGCTACGCACAGAAGACCTCTTAGGAGATTTCTGTCAATATAAATCCTCTGTCAATAGAAGATTTCTTAAAGGCATTTATGCTACTTGAAGTACTCTTAGGAACCTCCTAGAGTTCCTTCATCCATATGAGATATTGAAAAGTATTCCTAGGCACAAAAGATCTATTAGCAGATTGCTGTCAATATAAGTCCTCTTGGAGGGTTTATGTCCTTAGCAGACCTTTTGAGGGTTTTTGGTCTATCGGAGTTCTCAAAGGTTCGCTTTTGTCCATAAAATATCACTTAGGGGACTTCTAACTAAAAATCCGCCTTGAAGACTTCCTTCATCCATATGATATATTGAAAAGTAGTCCTACACACATATTAGAAGATTGCTGTCAAAATAGGTCCTCCTACAGGGTTTATGTCCATAGCAGACCTTTTGAGGGTTATTGGTGTATCGGAGTTCTCACAAGTCAGATTTTGCCCATGGAAAACTACTTAGAGGATTTCTATCTAAAAACCCGCCTAGAAGACTTCCATCACTATAATACCTCTCCCATGTATTCTTAGAGATTTCTTATCTACAGAAGACTTATGGGAGGTTATAAATTTTGTTAAATCAATTTCCTTTTTACTTCACTGCACTTTCGTATAATGAAACAACCCTCACATTTCCCTCTCTCCCCATTCTTCATCACATTACATACCTCATGAGCCCAGGCTTCAGCATTCAATTTGGCAGCAGCATCGACACTTTCTTTGTTACCCATGATGCGTTGTGGTTGTTTTTTAGTTGTTGTTGTAGTTCTTGTCCTTGTGTCGCTTACTGCTGTCGGTTTTCTTGTAGTAAAAGTTTCGATTTAGGGTTGTTGGTGGTGACGGGTTTCTTTCTTTTGGGGAAGGAAAGAAGTTTCTCTTGTCGTTGTTGTATTATTTTCTTCTTTTTTACTTATTTGTTGTGGTTGTTCTTCTTATTCTTCTCGTGTTACTCTGTTATCGCAAGTTGGTGAATATTAGTAAATATCAGTTGTTTGGGATGACTTGAGGTATATTTAAAACGAAACACTTTAGAACTTTGGATAATTTAGTTTAGCGGGGTTTCTTGTTGTTCGTTTAGTTTTCTTAATTTGTTATTGTTGTATTTTTTTTTTTTTTTTGTTTTTTTGTATTTTTTGTTGGGGCGTAAGGTAAGGTTTTCCGTTTTAATTAGTGATGAGTGAGTGTAGGATTTAGTTTTCGCTTCTTCGAAGTTTTAGTTTTCAGTGATTTTTTTTTCGCTTGTTGTTGTTTTATTTTGTTTAGTGGTTATTCTTTCTAAGCCACGATACGAAATGCAATATTTTATCTACCTTTTGGGTGTTTTCAAGATGAAATTAAATTAATATTTTTTTGGTGGATAGAAGAAAATTTAGTTTTTATAAAAGTAGTTCCACTTTCGTAGTTTTGCGGGAGAATTTATAAAGTTTTAATTTTTTTGTTATTGAAGTTGATTTTTTGATTATTTTTAAGTTAAGGTTTAAGAAATTTATATTAATAGTTTGGTATTTATTTGAATTAGAAACGGGAGGAACATATCTCGTATGTTTGCGAGGGGCAGAATGAACGGAATGAAATATTTTTCACTGAAATCTGTGTTAATTAAAAAAGCTGTGAGAGGAATTATCCGATTTATTTAAAAAAATGTAGGTCCGATTTACAAGCTCTAATACGAATACTACATACATATCTTAACAAAAAAGCTATAATAAATCATTGGACTTAGTGTTGCCTGACATTGTTATTGAAATGTTTGACATTTGGTGCACCAATTACCTTAAATCGGACGAAAATATATATGGGACATATATGTATATCTGAATCGATATTCATGAAACTTAGCACACATTCAATATGCTATACCAAAATTCGTGAACTTTGGTGCCAAATTTCGTGCAAATCGAAAGATATATAGGAATTTTAGTGCAATATTTACATAAAATCGGACGAAAATATATATGGGAGCTATATCTAAATCGGATCCGATTTTCACGAAACATTGCACACGTCATTCTAGATTTAATTCAATACGCTATACCAAAATCGAATGATCTTCAGGGACTTTGGTGCACCATTTTCCTAAAATCGGTCAAAACTATATATGGGAGCTATGTCTAAATCTGAACCGATTTTTACGAAACTTAACACACATCTTTCTAGACTTAATTCAGTAGGCTATACCAAATTTCGTGCAAATCGAAAAATATATAGGGACTTTGGTGCAACATTTACCTTAAATCGGACGAAATATATATAGGAGCTATATATAAATCTGAACCGATTTTCAGAAAACTTAGCACACGTCATTCTAGACTTAATTCAATACGCTATGCCAAAATTCGTGGAAATCGAATGATTTTCAGGGACTTTGGGCACCATTTACCTAAAATCGGGCAAAACTATATATGGGAGCTATACTAAATCTGAACCGATTTTCTCGAAACTTAACACATATCGTTCTAGACTTAATTCACGTTATAACAAATTTCGTCCAAATCAAAAAATATATAGGGACATTGGTACACCATTGACCTAAAATCGGGCAAAACTATATATGGGAACTATATCTAAATCTGAACCGATTTTCTCGAAACTTAACACACATCGTTCTTGACTTAATTCAGTAGGCTATACCAAATTTCGTGCAAATCGAAAAATATATAGGGACTAGGGTTCGGCCTTGGGCCAAAAAATGAGATGTGCCAAACTTCATTCAAATCGGATTATAAATGCGACCTGTACTTTGTTTACAAATTAACATCTACAGACGGACGGTGTGGTGAAGGGTATAAATACAAAACAACAATAATATAATTATGTCAATTAATTTTCTTATTCGTGAAGACTTCAAATAAATCTTCAATAGAATGCGAACATTTCCCAAAATCGCTCTGTAGATTATGCACCGAAAAATGGTTCAATATTAATAATTTTTGGTAGGAAGTATTTCTAGCCACTTCTAAATTACGAAATTTGGAAGGTATCCTCTTATGAAGACTATTCTAAGAAATGGACAAATTTTGAACGTTTTTAGTAGGAAGATTTTCTAATCAGTACCCAAAAGCTTCAAAAAATAGAATTTTGTTGGGTACCCAAATATGAGGTCTGTCCTAAAATGTGGACCGATATTTACCATTTTCAATACCAAACATCTTAGGAGAGTATGTACACAATTTCAAAGGTCTATCTCTATTGTGAGACGGACGGACGAACCTATTTTTAGTATATTCAGACTTGGGACGGACGAACCTATTTTTAGTATATTCAGATTTGGGCCAACTTTAATATCGTCACCGAAAACCAGATATTGGAAAAAACAATTATTCTGCAGATATTCAAGTCCTAATTCTTTTAAGTCTATATATTGATATGTTTTTTAATAATATATTCGATCGCAAAGCATATAATTCTTGTTCTAGCAACATTTTCCAATCAAAGGGAAATACGGTTCTTTGCGAAAAATTTTCGATACCAAATATTAGCACATCCACGACAATCATTATACCCTACACAACTATGTTGTCAGGGTATTATAGCTTTGTGCAGCCCCAAGAGATTGGTCCTACAACCACCTTTTAATATACCGATCGTCATATCTCGACTAGCTGAGTCTGTCCATTATAATTTGTAAAAACGATAGAGGCCACAGTTATGGACCAATCTTCACGAAATTTTGCATGTAGAATGGGGTCTGGACTATGAAGACCCATATTGTTTTTGGTCAAGATTGGTTCATATTTAGGGGATGAAATGAACCAAAAACTTTATTTTTGTCTGATTTTCTGGTCGCTCCAGAGGTCGCAATTAGGGACCAAACATCGCCTGTTTTGATAGAGATCGGTCAATATTTAGCCTGAATTTTGTGTGAAAAATTACAAAATTTGTATTCTATGGCGTATATATTTACTCCTAAAGGACATAGGCCCGAGAAGTTGGTAGTATATCCAAGAGGAGTGGTTGAACTTTAAATTGGTACCAATTGCATTGTCGTATGTACTCAGATTAATATATTATTTAGTAACCTAATACCATACTAGAGGGTGAAATAATAGCGCTGATTGATTTGAAATTTTCCATGAGGATCCAGGTATGGTCAAGGGCAACGCCTATAATCTTTGGTTATGATCAGATAAGGGAAGGGAATCTGGACAAGGGCTGTACTCAATATTAGTAATATTTGTTGACCTCTAGTCGGACAAGAGGGTTCAAATATCGCGAAATATTGCCGAAGCTCAGAATATAGAACAACACAAAGTTAGATTTTCGTGAAAGTTGTGTAGGGTCGGCCCCGTCCGACTATAATGTTCCGTTCACTGGATTTAAAACTCGATTTAAAATTTATTATGGATTTCCCCATCTCCTTTATCCCTGAACTGTAAGTTGCATTGAAATAATATTTGTTGATTGGAATCGAAGCTCTGTATATGTTGTAATCAGACTTCGACTTCAAAAAAATGTACACAAGGTGAAAGACACACCAAATATTCTCAGCTCGAAAACGTTATTTTGATCTGAATCGTAATTGTCTGAAACCACAAAGCTGGTTATATTTTCTCACATTAAAAATGCACAAAAGGTCTCACGAATTCTTAGGATATGAAAAACAAACTTCATTGCAGGGTGTGGTATGGGTTACAAAATAATCAGGTTTCTAATTCTAATAAATAATTATCACAGATATTAAAGACTTTATTAAATGTTCGTTCACTTTTTGTTAACAAATGTAATTTATCTTTAAAAATTTCCTTTAAAGTTTTTTCTTTGTTATTTAATTTTTTTCTTTAAATTTGGCCCATAAAATGTGTTTCAAATTATCGTATTACAACGAATTAGTGAACCACTAACATTGTATTTGTGTTGCTTTTGAAAGTACACGTATGTGTGTGTGAGTGATCCCTTTTCTTTTGAGGTAAGGTAAAAGTGACAGTTGCTTATGGCATTTTTTGTTGTTATTCCAATGTTTCTTTTTACTTTTTGTTGTTGATTTTCTTCGCTGTTTATTAATTCGCTTTACAGGGGTTTCTTCTTCTATTTCATTTTGTTCATTTTCCATCTGATGAGAAAAACAACAATATTATAACATCTTTTGTTACAAAGATGCTGTGACAGAAAATGAGAGAGATTTTTCCTGTCTCTCTTGTAATATTTTATGCAACGAGTAGTTGTTGTTATTACAATTTACTCGTTACCTGGTTTAGTCCCTACTACTCGTTGTTATTTGCGAACTCATGCCAGCCCTCTCTCTCCCCTACACACACACACGCATACACATTTATGTATGTAGTAAAATAGCATGCCTGGTGTAAACTTTTATTGTTGTTTTGAACTTTTTCTCTCTCTTCCCCCATATTTGCGGTGTTATTTTCTCTCTTCGTTAAAATTTGGTGTTTATATTTCATTTGGTATTGGAATAAGATGTTGTTGTAAATTCGTTCGCTGTGCCAAATTAAGGAAAACTGGGTTTCACTGGAAAATAAAGAAATCTACGTGTCGTATACTTGTTTTATTTGAAGATTGACCAATATTAACAATACTCTAAAATGTCAAATCTTAGACAAAGGCATATTGTAGGAAAAACAAACTTTTATCGAAATATTGAAAATAAGTCCAGGTGTAACATCTGTGAGAGAATACTGACATTTTAAAATTTTTAGAAAATTGAATTTCGGCAATTGTTTATAAAAATCTTTAATTGGTTTAAGATTTACAATTGAGTATGATGGCCAACAGGTGGAACATGTGAGTGGACATAAATATACCCT